CAAAATCAGAGTGAAACCTGGGTAGGAAGTGGTTGTAATCAATGTCAGAGTCGGTTTGTTCCTCGGTGGTATGGGCACGGCCGCCTGCGTGGTTCACCGGTCCGCACAGCAGCCCGTCCTTCATTTCTTGAGGGAAGGAGTTTTGTGTAAATAGAAACCAGTCATGTGAATTTAATGCTTACCTCTCCACTTAAAATCCTGAGAATGAAAATGTTAACTTAATGTTTTCAATCTAAAGTAAAAATGTTTGAAATGTTTGTACCCGATTTCTTGTGTTTAGTAATTTTCTAAGAAGATAATTTATCAGTATGTTGTCTAAAAGGAAAAAAAACAACCTGGAATTATATTACACGGTTGGTTTGTTTTAATGCTTTTGATTTTCCATTTCTGTGTTCTTTTCTTAGCCCATCAAGGCTCCTGAGTCTGTATCCACTATAATTACAGCAGAATCAATCTTTTATAAGGTATGGTTTATGCAAGTTTGTTTGCAAAAAAGGTCTTGCTGTTTCTATTTCCAATCTCAAAAATTACCACAGACGGTGAAAGCACTAGGGATGTATTCACAGAAACTGTTCTTTCTTGCCTAGCACTTGTGCAGGATTTTGCTCTGCCTTATGGCATTATGTCATTGCCATTAAGTCTTGCAAGGTAGTTTACATAGTTGTCATTGTCCCATTTTTGTCTTCCAAGAAAAAGATGCATCTGGTTTCCTTAGTAATTATTGCAGTTGAGGCTTTTAAACTTTTAACTTTCACCTTGCAGAGGTCAAGCAAAAGTGACTATAGATGATTATTTAAATTTGTGTGATGTTTCCTACCTTAGACACAGAGAGTATTACTGCCTGTAGAGAGGATGGGTTTGCGCTGCCCTAACATCTAAACTGGCTCCCGTTTCGGTGCTGGGTGCAAGCAGTCTTGGACACCTTGGGAACAAGATCTGTTGACTATTGCAATGAAAGCAGGAGCTAGCCTTCTCACATTCATGCGTGAGAGCATTTTTACCAGCATGCCAAGGTGTTAGTGTTTTCTAGTTTTCTTTAGTTTTAGTTCTGAAATTTGCTTTTGTTTCCCGGTAATACAAACAAACCATTTGAAATGTCTTTTTCCCCAAAGAAAAGGTCAGGATAGCCACTGGGAGACTGCACAGCCGGAGAAATGGTAGACTGAGCTTCCGTATGCTCTCTAGAGACCTTCGTGTCTTGCATCCCAGATGACTCTGTTTGCTGTTGACTAGTTCAGAAGAGAATTGATGTCTTTTCTTGCGTGTTTTTGGGTTTTTTTTCAGAAATTCCTAAGAATTATGTCAAAAGTTTTATTTAACCTGATCTCTTTATGCAAAATATTTCTATTTTGATACTTTGTTGTGTTGTTGAGAAGGGGATTGTTTGGGGGTTTTGAGGTCTTTTAAACCTGTTTTAAAAACAAAACCCTCCTGGATGATGCTTGGCAAACTCTCATATTGATAGTGCAGGCACTGCATTGTGCTGTGCGACGCTGTTATAACATGAAGTGAGTTGCCTTTGCTGCGCAGCCTCACACGTTAAGAGCAGCCTGGAAGGTGGCAGGAGGTGGATCTGTGTTTTGGGACTCCTTTGCATTCAGCTGAGTGAACTTCTCCATACACAGAAAGCTGCTTTCCCTGCACACACAGGGAAATTACTACAGTTACTTTTTCTAGAAGGTGGTGTTGCACTCTCCTACTTCTGACAGAATGAGACCATCTCCGCTCTGCAGAGAGGAGGCGCGTAGCCTCAGACTCCTAGACATTTGGTGATTGTGCACAAGCAGTGCTGATGACTGCTTAGGTGAGACAGTACTCTATCTTACACCACTGTTCTTTTGTGTGTGGCTGAATTAAGGCTGTCTTTCAAGATTGGGGTGATTTGGGATAATTTGAGATAGAATCATTAGAATCATAGAATCATTAAGGTTGGAAGAGACCTCCAAGATCATCGAGTCCAACCGTAAGATACTTAAGATATGAATCAGAATCCCAGAGTGAAGCTTCTAAAATCAGATTGTTTGATGTAATTATCATTTGTATGTCTTCTAGGGTGTATACTATCAAATTGGAGATGTTGTTTCAGTGGTTGATGAGCAGGATGGAAAAACATACTACGCTCAGATCCGTGGGTTTATTCAGGACCAATACTGTGAAAAGAGTGCTGCGCTAACCTGGCTCATTCCTACGCAAGCCAGCCCCAAAGATTGTTTTGACCCAGCATCCTATATCATAGGTAATCTTTAAAGCCTTCGTTTTACACAACTACATATATGAGCCTAGACTGATGCAGAGTTGTATTTTTTTAAATGAACTTTTTAGTTTGTCAAGATAATTTATGCAATTTCCACATTTTAGACCCTAATCCTGTAAGCATCTCATTTACTTCAATAACCTCTTGTATTTATCTTATGTATATAATATGATTAGCACTACCGCAGTGAGTGCGATTATCTGAGTACTTGGGCTCCTGGGCACAGTTATAGTCTTGCAGCTTTAAAGATCAAATTATTATTCCATAGATAGAATCAAAGTTATTACAGTATAAATCTGATATACCAGTCCAAGCTGTTTCTTTTAAAGTGACCTGAATTAGCTGATCTTCATCTTGGGTACTTAAAATACATAGCGTGCAAGCGCTGGCATAGAGAGTGTTCTGCTACTGATCATAAAATTATTAATAATTCAGAAAAGTCCTTTTGACAGGCAGGCCACAAATAGTATCTATTTAAAATGTATTAACTAAAATACTTAATTCAAATAACTGAATGCTTCAAAGGGGGGAGGGGGGGGGAGCAGAAATCAGCCTGGCAAAAACAAAGGTAGAGGTTTCTTGCCTAGTATTTGAGGCTACTTTGCCAGGAAAGTCATCAATTGAAAAGTCACATTCTCTAAGGGATGTTGGCTGTTGTTGTATATTTTTAAGCGCTGCATACTCCAATTTCATGCCTTTAAATTTAGTCTTTGAAGATTGTTTATTTTTTTTCTAGGACCAGAAGAAGATCTCCCAAGGAAGATGGAATATTTAGAATTTGTTTGTCATGCACCTTCGGAATATTTCAAATCTCGATCATCTCCCTTCCCTACTGTTCCTACAAGACCAGAGAAGGGCTATATATGGACTCATGTGGGACCTACTCCTGCAATCTCCATTAAAGAAACTGTTACCAATAATTTATAATTTTTTAAAGGAATACTTTGGATGAGTTATTTTGGGTGTATTCTCAGGTCTGTGAACCCCATACAAGAAGTTTAAAAAAAAAAACTATAAAATGTTCATTTTACTTTATGGATTATGGTATTTATTTATTTTAAATTATATCAGATCTTAAAGTGGAAGTTTTCTTTCCATTTGATGCGTCATTTCTGTGCTCTGATCTTCAGACATTATTGCTCATTTTGGGACAAAACCACAAGTTTCGTGCCATCTTCGACTTTGGTGAGCAAATAATTGACTTCTGAAAGTTGCCTTTAGTGTTCTTATTTTCTAACTTATTTTCCAGAAAAGGAGTTAAAAGACGTACTCTTAATCATCCAGCTCTTCATATACTGGTTTAATTTAGTTAACTGTGACTGCAGTTTTTGTTTGCTTCATAAATAATTTAAGACTACCTTCAAATAAACACTAAACTTGGTCAGTGATGCAGTTAACAGTTTTCTGTTACTCTGGACAGGAGTGATCTACTTAGGTTTTAGTCTGAAGAGAAATCTATCATCCGCAAAGCGGTACTCTATTTAACAGTCACCTTTTAAGGGAATTTTGTTCAGCTGAATCTGAAATGTGGGCCTATGTATGTAGCTTCCTGCTAAACTTTGCTTATATAAGGGTTAAAATTCTTGGAAAGCTGGATACAGATTTAAAAATTAATGTCATTTGGCTTTGCCATCCTGGCATCCTTATGGCAGAAATGTATCTTCATTTCCTGAGCAAGCCAACACTGACCTATGATTTGAGTTTCACATTGTTACAATTTGGGTGTGTGTTAGCTTGGTCTCTTAAATTTTAAATTGTTTTTTAAATCTTTGCAATTAATGATGGTAAGAAAAAAATCCTCAAGCAATTCAAATGAAAAAAAAGTTTGCTAAGGGAAATAAAGACCAATTTTATATATTGACAGTCTCAGTATACCAATGAAAATATTTAAATAGCAGAATAGGAAAAATGCCACATACTGAAATACCAATGTTAAAGTTTTCTGCGCTAAACTTTTTACAAGCCGGTCAGCTCCAAACACTGTGAGATGTGCTTGTATGGCCTGAATTCCCTGGGGTTAGCGGTTCCTGCCGCCTGTGAAGGATAAGAGCTGTAAGTGGCTTTACATTTACATTTACAGATCTTTTCAGCTTTTTTTTTTTTTTTTTGGACATATGTGACCGTAGCACCCAGAAGCCCCAAATCAACTGGGGGCGTATGTTGCGTGAAAGCCCACGAAAGTTGCACCAGGCTTGTGTTTTAAGGTCATGAAAAGCTTTGATTTAAGATGAAATGTATTTTGAAAGTCTCAAGTATCAACAACTTTTAATACAGTGGGACCCGTGAGAGCAGGAACCAGGTACATTTGTTTCAGTTTGCAACCTCAGTTCTGCCCTCTTCAAATAAAAGGAAGAATAGTCAACCTTAAGGGAGTAGGTGCTAAATTTAAGGGATACTGTCAATAGTTCAAAATGCTCGGAAATTAGCAGTATACTGCTAGAGTTAAGTCTTAAGTTAGCTTCAGTTGCTATGTACATGAGATGTGTGCCCATGTTCAGTGTGTTGCAGTAATTAATCCCAAGGTGACCTCGCTCCTGACCTTCCTCTCCTTTCTCTCCTTCCATTTCCACTAGATTTCTTTTTTGCTGATTTATCTTTATTAAATTAGCAACCATAAGAAAGTAAAAATAACGACTCTTAAAAGATATTTACAGTAACCAGAGTGACTCCCTCCACTCAAATGTTTTCCCTCCTTACTCTGTGGTCCACAAGGTTTTCACTTGGGATCACGGTAAAGTTCCTGTGCTGTCTCGGCATAATCCATGGAGCTTTGCTCTTCTGTGGGCTGACTTTGGAGCTCAGCTGCTTTCTTTGTCAAATCCTTGTAGGAAGAGGGAAGAAAACAATGCTTACATTCAGTTTTGCTTTTTTCAGTTTCTACAATTTACATGAAATGAAAAGTACTTGCTTGCCATTTGCCTTATTTGTCAATAAATTGTAATATAAAAGGGGCAATTTAGAGAAATACCAATGTATGGTTTATGATTTGAGGTTTGTTTCACAGAATGACCTGCTGATATGCAGGTCTCGGCACCTTCCTGTGTTAAACAGCAGGTCATACCGAGAGAGGGAACTGACAGCAGGCTTGCGCTAGGCACGTAGTTTGAAAGTTTAAGCAAAAGAAAAGACTTTGAAGCAAGATAATGTCTTACTCTATGAAAAATAGTATGCCGTATAAGTGTTCTACTTACAGTAGCAAAGAGCAGAGCTCCAGGTAGAGGATATGTAGCCTGGGACTTCTGTAAGAAAAAGCAAAGAACTGTGAGCATTGCCACTGTGAAAAGAAAGCCAGAACTGAATAAAAATGTCATCCCTCGCTGCATTTGAATCACCAGCAGCACTAAATTTAAGAAAGGTGTATTCTGATTAGGTTAAAAAAAAAAACGCAAAAAGAACTGCACAATAAAAACAGAACTATCAAATGATGTAGTAGGTAATCTAAAACCACTGAATCCACTTCAGTTCTGTTACTTACCTAACTGTGATAGAAGATTATTTGGTTTGGGAAGATGCAAGACTTACTAGTTCTTCTTATGAGACAACCCACAGGAACTTTAAACACCTTTTTAGCTGTCTGGTCTTGCCATTCATTAGGGAATGAAATAGGAAAAAATCACGCAGAAAAAGAGCTCTGCATTTAAACATTTTTATTTTGTTTGCTGCAGTGTGATACAAAGCTACTGATACTATCCCTGGCAGATCGAGTGATTACAGGTGCTGTGCAGTACGGGCTAACTCATGTCAGCATACCTAATAAGTGCACATCAAGTAAACCACTTACATATGAATTTATAAGGGTACAGACAGTTGCCCCAGTGATCAGCAGAATGCTTGAGGTGTTTGATGTGGTCATGCTTGTCAGGGTTTCCTGAGGACACCAAGCACCGTGAAGCTCTTTAGCTGCAGCTGGCCAACACATTTTGAACCCCCAAAAATTGTTGTTAGGGATGGTGATTAATAAACTAGCATCAGTGACATGCATAAAGATAAATCCTGAAATTACTGCAGCTGACTTACGGTTTTGCTCCTTTTCCTGGTCTGTTAATAAGCTGAATAATTCCATAAAACATATTTAATTGATTTCTAATTCTGTTTTTGTTAACTTCTTAAACTGACTTCCAGCTGCTGTTACCTTCTTACTGATACTCATCAGTGTCTGCAAGAGCGGCTCTAAGAAAGGAACAGATACATGGTAATATGTCCATGAGAAAAACCCGTTTTGAAATACAATACATTCCACTTACATGTTTTGACTTCTCTTGCCCTTAGTATAGCAAACCTGTGGACAGAAGAATGAAGCTGGGACAGAGGTTTGTGGGAGAGTGGGATCAGTCCTGGTAGTTTAACAGTTTCCAGCACAGACCGCTCGATTTTTTTTATTTTTTTTTTTTACTATGAGCATTGCTAGTTTTGGAGATGCAAACAGAACTAGTAGAAATTGAGTGACTCAATAAAAGAGATACAAAGCTGTCACTAAAATCGTGACAGCTTAGATTATTTGTTATTACATAATCCGTTAATAGTACTTACTTTTGTCTTCAGAGCAAATAAAAACAGTAACAGGGTTGCAAATGCAGTTGTTCCTCCAACTTGCATTATAGTCATTGTGTCGTGGGAACTAAGGCGTGAGGCAACCTGTCAGTTCAAAATGCTCAGGCAGAATGTCAGCCAGTGAAAGAAAAACGCTTAAAAGATTTAATCTAAAGTAATTCCAAGTATTATACTTCCAACTACAGTCTAAAAAGACAAAAAATATATTTTTTTTAGAGAGCTGTGGAACAACCTCCCTTAGTAAACACTAAGTATTTTTATTGTAGTTTTTTATTATACTGGGAAGTGCTAAAAAATAGTCCAAATGGGCAAGGATTCTCATGGTAAGGTCCCTAAAGAGAGTGGATCTGCAGGCAATATCTGTTATTAAAGCATTATAACTTTATCTATAGGTATTTGAACAATTGCACTGTCCTGTTTTTTCGTGTCCAGAACATCAACCAGTAACATGGGAAGAATGACTGACTCCAGACAGCTTCTTGTGGACATAGCTGAAAGAATGGGACCTCCGAGAGCGATGTCTCTCAGAAAATTTCTCATATTATGAAAATGAAGGGCAAAAGGAGGACCTGCAAAATGGACTCGAGCAGAAGGGCTGTCACAGGATCCCATGGGGACAGGCTTTGATGCCCTGCAACCAAAGGAGCTGAGCTCACCCATTATTCTCTCTTTTCTTGTTTGGTGTCCCCCATGCCAAAATTTTGGTAGTTTTCATTCTTGCATCCATCTTGTGAGTGGATACACTACTACTGAATTGATGGCCTTGTGTTAAGCTTCAGAGCTTTGTGACCAGCCAACAGACATTCTCGTTAAGCAATTTTAGTTCGAAAGATGGAACATGTAGCTAAGAGCGAACATACACAGAGCACATACACTGAGTAATGCATAGAACATGCAGAGTGTGCCCTGATGCATACATTGCAGTTCCGTCTGCCTGCAGGAAGCAAATATCCTTTTTGTAGTCATGGAAAATCAATATTATCCAAGAACATTTGCCTTGCAGAACAGGAAAAAGTTTCCATGACAGAAATGATGCAGACTTTTTTTTTAAAACTACTTTTTGACTGAGGAGAATTTTCACTTCTGTATCTATGTAAGAGAAATAAAAGAGCTTGAAAAGGAAAAATCATGGACTTAAGCAATGTACTTACCTCTCTTAAGGTGTAAGAGGCACTCACTGAAGTAATTTGGCTGGCGATTGTACACAGGATAATAATAGCAATATTCATCCCAGTAAGAAAAAAAAAGGAAAAAGCAAACAAAACATTTTTAGTGACTGATAGCTCAACTAAATATAGGAAATAACAAGTAACAGCTTTAATTGCTGAAAGCAAAGCATTCCGATTTCATATGTGTGAAGAGTGTCCACTAAATATTCAATTTTTTATTCAATATATTTTTATATTATTGAAATGGAGTCTTGGTTACACAAAACCATACTTGTTGAAATGGAGAAATGACTCATTTCAGATATGCTTGTAAATCATGTAAGTAATTTTTTCTCAGGTAGTTGTCATATATTTGTAGGCACATCAGAAAAACACTTTGGATGTATATTAAATTATTTTTTACCTCTAACTTGCCTGAGTGAGTATCATTGAAGATTTGGAGATTTGTATTAGAAGGCTGGATCAAGGGGAAAAACACAAGGGCCATGCTTTTCCAGAATTGAATTTATTTAATTTTCCAGGTTTTAATTTATGCCTAAGAGCTTTTGGATAAGCACTATATTGGCATACCTGTGGGTTTTACATTCTAACAAAGGCTTTTAGTTTAATAGGTAAAGCAAAAGCCGCGCGCACAAGCAAAGCAAAACCAGGAATTCA